GCGCTTGTAGGGCATGCGCATTGTCTGACTCTCTTGGCGGCCGCGCATCCAACGCGCCTGCTCCTCCTGTGAGGGTTTCGCTGGCCTTGTGAATAAAGATAGGGCCGGTGCTATTAGGGGCACCGTAGGTGTCTCCAATTTTGGCTTCTTTGTATGTATTAATTTGCCCATGGGATTACGACTAAGCAGTGTTGGCAAATCATCGCGAATCTCCTCCATATGCGAAAAGTCAAGAGGACAATTCAGTTTGCTGCTGAAGTCCTTGTTGCTTGGCAACAAGTTCACGGGTGCAGTATTTCGTGCTTCCAATATGGGCTGTAAGTGAAAAGATTTTAGAGTTAAGTCTAGACATTGAAGTGGGAGTTCACTCACCTTGATCAAGGGCTGCTCACGTGCCCGCAACACAATTTGATGCAATGTGTTCAGCTGCTGGCGCACCAAGGGGGGAATTGGATTGCAGCAGGCCAATATGCCTTGCATTTCACGAGGCAAACTTTCGGCTATTTGTAGCATCATATGATTGGGCAACACATAGCCGTAACTTTCGTCTTCCTGGCGAGCGGTCGTATCGCGCCACACAAAGATGCCGCGCAGAGCATGGAGCTGGCGATTGTCAAAGGAGCGCTTCGTCTTGCGCACTAGATCCAGATGCGAATCCGGTCCGATGTGCGGCTTGGTGTAGCGCTTCTTGCAAACGTCTGTGCTCATTTGATAGACCATGCGCAAGCCCTGTAGTCCCTGCTCAGATTGCAGCAGATCGTTCGTGAGGCGCTCGTATATATAGATGAGGTAGTGTGTGTCCTGGCGTGCATAGTCAATAAGTTTTTGGGGCAGAGGGCGCATGCGCCAGTCTGCCAACTGCAGGCTCTTGTCCACATCCAGATCCAGGTAATGCTTCAACAGAAATGCCAGCGAAAGTCGGGCCATGTTCAAGGCTTTGGCTGCCCGATGTGTATCGAACATGTTGACGATATATAGCGATAGATCGCGTTGCAGCCATTCGATATCGAGATCAGCGCCATGCAATATCTTGAGCACCTTGGGGTCAGTGAGAACGAGATTTAGGATGTGCATGTCCTCGCGCAACTTCAGTGTATCGAATATATAGTCCTTTGTGCGTGTTGACATCTGCACCAGGCATGTGATGCCCATAAATGTGCGATACGAATGATGCTCCACATCGATGGCTATTTGGGACGCTTGACGCAGTTCATTTAGTGCCTGCTTCAGTGCCTCCACACTGTCTACTAACATCAGTTCAGTTTGGGCTGGTGGTGCCGGCAAGACGGGCTTTTGCTTTTGCAATTGCTCACTGGGCGGCTCAAATTTCAACAGCTCAAACTCATACGGATGTAGGAAGGACACCACGTTGCCAGTATCATCGTATTCGGGCAATAATGCCAAGGGCTTCAACGAATTGGGCTTCTCTGTAAGACGTGGTCGGAAAGGATTCTGGGCGCTATTGTCCACAGGCACCTTAAACTGCATTTGGGGACGCATTATATTCTGTGCCGTAAACAATCGCGCCGAGACCGTGTTACGTGTTGGTGTGCCTGTAGTCGTGCGATTCCAGCTGCCAGCACGTGGTGATTCTTTTGTTACGGTCGAGGGTTTTGCGGCGCGCGATGTAGATTGTACATCGACCTGGGCTTCGACAACCACTGGCTGGTTGCCTCGTCTTAGGCCGCTTCTTATGTCTAAATTGGTTGTGATACGTTCGAATAAAATATCATTGTATTCCTGTACCATTTCCAGCTGCTCATCGCCTTGACGCCTGTGGGTATTATATTAGCTTTTGTGTATGTAAATGAAATAGAAGTTTACCGTCTAATATCGCCTGATATATTTTCCGTCTTTAAAACCTTGTTAATCAATCCCAGCACTCGCTGTGACTGCTCCTCCAACATGCGCGCATACCCGGGATAACTCATGTAAACCGAGCGGGCCTCGCCTTGTGGGAGGGAATTACAAATGCGTGTGGCAGCCACAACATTGCGATATGCATCCTAGATAATAGTGAATGTGAGCCTTTGCTAATATCTAACCTCTCTGTATAATCTTACCGTTGTAAAGCTGGTTATGTTCCTGGGATCAGAGCTGGCTTGAGATGTTGACGGTTGGGGAGCGGCTTCTTCAGGCTGTTCTGGTTCCGTCGGATTTTCTCGTTTTGGCGGCTGTGGCATTGTGTTGGGTATAGTGTAATGAATAATTTTTTGAAATTGTGTGAACTTTTATATCTGATTTGTTTGCTGGTTGGGTACAAAAAAATGTGCGTTTTTCTTCTTCTTCCGAAGGAATTAAAAACACCGATAATTTAGGGTTGTCAACACTACTACCAGCGGCAAATTTTAATTACTCATTGAAATGCAAAACTAGTGAAAACGATCCAATTCGAGCTGGCCATTCAAATTTACAGCGAAGAAAATTATAAAAAATTGACTGAGAGATTGAAATGATTTCGACAACATATTCGACCGCATCATGTTTTAAATGTGTGAAATATTTGGACTGGTCTCAGTAATGTCGTCACTAACAAATGGAATATCGAAACTATCGAAATCGCTTCATTCTCTAATTTGTCAACAGTTCCATCGATGTTTATATGATAATCGAAATCCCAGCGGTAGCCGCCAGAAAATAAAACCGTAATTATACAAAATTATCTATTAAAACTACGTAAAGCCATCCCATACATAACACTACCCAACTCCCCGCACTGCATCATCATGTTGGATCTGTACAGGCGCATTGTGGCTCGTTTTCCACTTGGCAATGTCAGTTACATGTTCGCCTACGGTTCGGGCGTCAAACAGCAAATCGGCTATGAAAAAGTGGAGGAGAAGCCGGATTCGAAAAGTGTAATCGACTTGGTGTTTTGCGTGCGTGACACTCAGGGATTTCATGCGGAAAATATACACCGGCACTCCAGTCACTATTCGGCATTACGCCATCTGGGAGCTAACCTGGTGGCTCAGTATCAGGAGCTACTCGGTGCCAGGGTTTATTTCAATACACTGGTGCCAGTGCATAACCTAGGAGTGACTATTAAATACGGCGTGGTGCATGAGGATCATTTGATTGATGATCTTATCAACTGGCGGCACCTTTACTTGGCCGGGCGCCTTCAAAAACCGGTCACTGATCTCGTAAAGCTCGACGACGATTCACGTCTTAAAATCGCCTTGGAAAAAAACCTGCGGTCAGCTTGTCAGACGGCACTACTGCTGCTGCCCGAGAAGTTTACCGCCTATGAGCTGTTCTATGCCATTGCCGGATTAAGCTACAAGGGCGACTTTCGTATGATTTTTGGAGAGAATAAGCGGAAGGTGCACAACATATTGCAGCCACAAGTCCGTGAGTTCTTCACACTCTACCAGCCCATTATGAAACAGTTGTCGCAGTATATAGCCGTTGATTTGCATGGCCAGGAGCCGGGCTCGCGGAAGCCGGCCATTGTGTTCGAGCAGGATAAATCTGGCGAGGCTACGCGATATCATCTGCGTCATTTGCCTAAGGAGCTGTGCCATCGACTGAAGCGCAATGCTGCGTGCCGTGGAGATTATGCAGATGTGGTGGACTATCTAGCCGTAGCCCCACTGCTCCCAAAGATCGTCCAGGTGTCGGTGAACGACATCGTGTGGCGCAGCAGCATTAAGCAATCGCTGAAAAATATTGCCACCGCAGGGATTATAAAGTCACTCGTCTACAGCTTTCGCAAGGCACAGAAGACATTCGCAGTCTAAAGTATTTATCTCATCTGCTCTAACTTAATCTCTAGTTGATTTTCCCTGCCAATTATTGACTAAGTTGCGCTATATTGTGCTAACTTTCTGTTAATTAATTTTAAGCCCAAAAGTTGTTGTTCACATCAATAGAGAATCTGTAGATTACAAAGTAGAGCCTTTGAGTTTTCATTGCCGGTAATTGCAAAATGTTTTACAGAAGTCCAGTATGACCAGCGATTCGAGCAGCTCCAGCGACGAGGAGCACAGGCGCAAGCGCAAGCATAAAAAACAGAGCAAGGATGCTGATAAGAAGCACAAGAAATCAAAGAAGCATAAACATGAAAAGCGCCATAAGGAAAAAAAGCGCAGCAAGCGTGAGTCTTCGCCAGAGAAGGAGAAACTGGATCAAGAACTGCCAACAGGGAGCACTGAAGATGCAGCTGCGGAAGCAGATGCCAATGCTTATATGCCCGCACTGCCGCCACACTTAATGAAACAAGAAAAGCCTCAGCTGGAACCGCAGCAACAACCAACTCCGATTATTGGACCCGTAATGCCCAGCCAAATGCCCGTAGTTGACGAAGGTTCTCCACAAAAAACCGAAGCACCTGAAGATGATGATGATGATGATGATCTGGCGGGCACGTTCGGACCAATACCGAATGCTACACAAGTCGAGTTGGAGGAGCGTGCGCTGACCATGAAGTTAGCTGCGCTGGAAGGTGGCGGTTTGGGCAGCTCTACAGCAGATCAAGACTTGCGCGAAGAATGGATGCTGGAGCTGCCTGAGGTGGGACTAAAGAGCGGTCTTGCCGCTCTCAACAATATGAAGCGCACCTTCTATCAGGGCAAAGAGCGACCGGATTTTAGTGATCGCAGCTCATGGACTAAGACGCCGCAAAGTGCGGCTGCTGGTCCGAAGCCCTGCAGTTCCAAAGACTTGGAGCAAAAGGCGAAGGCAAACTATGAACGTCAGCGCGATGAGGAGCAAGAGTCCATTGCTAAGAAACACAAGAAGAAGCACAAACGAGATGAATCCCTTGTTGAACTGCATCAGAAGAAATTGCGCAAGGAGCAGCGCCAGCGGGTAAAAAGCGAACGACACTAAAGAAAATTCTCGAAAGTTCTATTCCATATTTTTGCTTTCAGGAGAAGGAACTGGCCGCCAGCGGGTCCAAGCCCGAACGACGACCATTTAGTCGTGATGTGGATCTGAAGCTAAACAAAATTGACAAAAATCAAACCAAGCAAATTGTGGATAAGGCTAAGATACTCAACACAAAGTTTTCCAGCGGTCAAGCAAAGTATCTTTGAGCAATGTATAAACTAATATAAAATTATTTTAATATAAATATTGAATGCGTATTTTATCGTTGGGGCGGTGGCTTGGGCTTGGGTATCTTGGAGAGCAGTATTTGGATCTCGTCCTTCTCTTTCCAGTCCTTCCACAGCTCGTAAAGATTGACAATTGCGCGCACAATCTCCTGCACCTTGTCCAAGTCGACGTTCAGCTCGGCGAACCATTGCTTGGTAGAGTCCTTCTGCAATATGACGCATGCGATTTGCAAACAGGCAATGGCAATCTGAAATCCATTGAGGATTGAGTATTTTATAGAGGCATGATAATGGGTGCTCATTGTGCTTACCTGATATGGTGGGTAGAGCAAGCAGACATCCGTACGCAAAGAGTCATTGACTATGCGCCAAGAAAGTGTCAATAGCTGGTCCTCCTGTCCCATATCCTGGACAAGTTGCAGCAACGGCCGATACGGCTGGAATACAATTAGGCAACAGTCGAGATTCTCCAGTAAATAAAACTCGCATTCGAGTATGTGATTGGTGCGATACGGAAATTCCTGGGTGTACGCATAGCTAAACTTTGACTTGATGGCCGTCTGGCAAATCGAGATAAGACGTGAATTTGATATGACACCAAACTCTTCCACTTTGGAGGCCAGCAGGATGCAGGTGGGTGCCAGGAGCAGAGGATCGATGTTTTTCAATGAGTTGCGTGCATAGAAACGCTTAAAATACACGGTTGCCGTGGCAATAACCTGTTGCCGCAGCTTCAATTGCTCCCCGAGCACTTGAATGACATTTGCAAAAAATATAAATATCTTTTGATATTCATCCTCGGTGAGAACCAGCAAATCGTTTTGGCGTTCACGTAGCAAATCCTGCTTATCCAGTATCCATTGCTGCGAGTGCGAGCTCTGCCAAAAATTGCCTGCCATTATGAGCCCGGCAGTTTGTTCTTACTTGGCTTTGAATTTTCAGATATACAAAATATTGTGAACTTCTAAGAACAGTTACAAAAATAGTGAAAAAAAAAACTTGAATGAACAGAAAACAGTCTGAAAGCCGCAAATTTTTTGTCACTACTGTGTGACCAGAGCTGCCAACGAGCAGCTGATTTGATATTTCTAGAATTGCTTATAAGTTGCCTGACAATACATACCCAGCAGTACCTTAAGCTTCTTGTATATAATATAATATATATGTTATAAACTTGACAGTTTAAAATCAATTGGCTTTGATATTTCGGTTCTAAATAAATTGTATGTCTTTGAAAACAAAAATAAGTTAGCCAAATATTTGAACAGAGAAAGACAGTGCTGCAGTGTGACCAAAGCTGTAATACATCGACCAGCTGATTTGCACGCAGCCAACTTAACGCCTTAGCATTGTACATATGCGAGTGTGTGAAATTTTCAGCAGGCGCCGCGACAACGGGAACGCAGAAGTTTTAGTTATTTTAAGTGCTTAAAATATTGAACGATTATAAGAAACGATGGCGTTGCGTGTACTTGGAGTAACGCAGAATATGCGCTCATACATGCGCGGCGTTGACTTGATCAAGGTAAATAATAAGAATATAATTATATTTTTGCTTACACTCCAGTATATTAAATTACGTAATTGTGTGTGTTGTAAGCTGTCCACTCGCTATTTACATGTTGCACGAGTCGCCAATACCTCTATTAAAAGACTTAAGACACAGCATAAATATCATCCATCAATATGCTGGCTAAAAGCTGCGCAAAATAATTACAAAATAGCTTTAGCAGATTTGAGGTTATGTGTCGACAATTGCCCAATCAATTCGCCGTTTGAAATTTTTGTTTTGTTTGTGCTTCTATTTCGTAGCGCTACAAATCGGCTCTGACCGTTAAGAAGACGCTGCTGAATATACCCGCCACCCAGGTAACCAGGCTGGACAATGGCCTGCGCGTCGCTAGCGAAGATTCGGGCGCATCCACCGCCACTGTTGGTCTCTGGATCGATGCTGGCTCGCGTTCCGAGAACGACAAGAACAATGGCGTTGCCCACTTCTTGGAGCACATGGCCTTCAAGGTAAGGTGTAACAGGGATAGTATATGATTATAATATTTAACAACTCTTTCCTTATACCAGGGTACTGCCAAGCGTTCGCAAACCGACCTGGAGCTCGAGGTTGAGAATATGGGTGCTCACCTTAACGCGTACACATCTCGCGAGCAGACCGTGTTCTACGCCAAGTGTCTGTCTAAGGATGTGCCAAAGGCCGTTGAGATTTTAGCCGACATTATTCAGAACTCCAAGCTGGGTGAGTCGGAGATCGCACGCGAACGTTCGGTCATTCTGCGCGAGATGCAGGAGGTGGAGAGCAATCTGCAGGAGGTGGTCTTCGATCACTTGCACGCCACTGCTTATCAGGGCACTCCCTTGGGCCAGACGATTCTTGGCCCCACCAAGAACATTCAGTAAGTGAAAAGTGTTTGATACAATATTAAGATCTAGCTAAATTATATCATTTGCAGGTCCATTGGCAAGAGCGATCTGACCGACTACATTCAGACCCACTACAAGGCATCGCGCATTGTTTTGGCTGGTGCCGGTGGTGTCAAGCACGACGAACTTGTCAAGTTGGCCGGTCAAAATCTTGGAAGCTTGGAGTCCAGCGTGCTGCCAGCTGAAATAACTCCCTGCCGCTTCACTGGCTCCGAGGTGCGCGTGCGTGACGACTCACTGCCTTTGGCTCATGTAGCTATTGCTGTTGAGGGCTGTGGCTGGACTGATCAGGATAACATCCCATTGATGGTGGCCAACACCTTGGTAGGTGCCTGGGATCGTTCCCAGGGCGGTGGCGCCAACAATGCATCCAACTTGGCCCGTGCCAGTGCCGAGGACAGTTAGTATTTAAATAATCTTTGATGCAATGTTTGTACTCCTGCTTTGCATTCTATACGCAGATTTGTGCCACAGCTTCCAGTCTTTCAATACCTGCTACAAGGACACCGGTCTGTGGGGCATCTACTTCGTTTGCGATCCATTGCAGTGCGAGGTAAACACTAATCTCTGTTAGCTGACATTTTAATAAAACCAGCTCTTTTCAGGATATGCTTTTCAATGTGCAAACCGAATGGATGCGTCTGTGCACCATGGTCACAGAGGCTGAGGTCGAGCGCGCCAAGAACTTGCTGAAGACGAACATGCTTCTCCAGCTGGATGGCACCACCCCCATTTGCGAGGACATCGGTCGCCAGATTCTGTGCTATAATCGCCGCATCCCATTGCACGAACTGGAGCAGCGCATTGATGCCGTCAGCGTGCAGAATGTGCGCGATGTCGGCATGAAGTACATCTATGACAGATGCCCCGCCGTGTCCGCCGTTGGACCCGTCGAGAATTTGCCCGATTACAACAGAATTCGCTCCTCCATGTACTGGTTGAGGGTCTAAGTAGCTACGATGCTCTGGTCTGAAAGATATTGTTGCTAGCCGTGTAGATTAATTCAAGAAAAATTCTATCCAAGAGAATCAGTAAAAACCAAACTAAAATAAAACCAACACACATAACTTAAAATGAGCTGCTGTAAATATTTGTTCGTTGTATTTTATTGATATTCATTGATTATGATATATCCATAGTCTATTATCTAATCGTGCGAGTAGTTGATGGGTATTCCACTAAGACCCTTCTGCAGTTTGGCTGGTTCGGTTTCACCCAGCGCCGGATCCAAGCCTTGCCAAGTGCGATCCTCGAACGTGAGGCCCGAGTCGTTAGTCATCAGTGCCATCTTAGCCTGGGTAGCAACCGTTGTGTTTGAATCTACGGGCTCATCGCTAGCAGTGCCTCCTCTCATACGGCCGCTGACCAGGCTCACGTCCTGTGGCTGTACGGCTTGCGCATCAAAGGCCAAGAAACTGCGTCCCTCCGGCAGCAGCTGCTTGAAATCTGTGACATAAGCCTCCGGGTATTTCATGTGCCAGGCTGGATTCAGCGCCATTTCGGCCTCAAACACAGACACAATTGGCTTATAGTACTCCTTGGAATTATACATATTGTTGAAGGGACAACCGATGAGCACAAAGCAGTCGATCTCCAGGAAGTTGGCCAGCTTGGCAGGATTAATGCGGCCAACGGAAATGAGTTGCGTCTTAATGCCACGACTCTTGGCCATCTCCTGCAAACGCGACACTACATCTAAATAGCCAACAGCGCTCAATGTGGCCACAATCAGACCCAGAGTCTGTGCATCCTTGCATTTCTCTATATAGTAATAGCGTCTTCGTATATATTGTGCTGTCAGCGGATTTTTTGCAGTTAATGTGCCGCTGGCGCCGTCGAGAATGTGCCATTGAAACGCTGTGGTGGTCAGTGATAGATTAGCAAAGCGCTGATTATCTGCACCAATAAAGATACAAATACGCTCTGCCGTCGAAGCATTCTCTTTCTCAGCTTGTTCCTTATTCTCGATGCAGTCTTCAGCGGGTGGTGGATACACCTCGATAAACAGCTTCTTGGGGCGCAGCACTTCACGCAGCTGGCTATGGAGCGTGTCCTCGCCTTCAGCTAGCTGATGCTCATAGATATGCTGATAGCCAATATCTAGATAAACGCAAACCTCTCGCTCAGCACACGCTGGCTGCAAAGTGGCCAGCTGTTGCATCACCGTAGACAGCTCCAACGGCAGCACTGGGTACAAATAGAGTACCGGCAAACGGCTGGCCTTGCTACGGCAGGCATTGCCAAAATGAATAATGCTATCCGCCTCCACGTGAGCCGCAGCAATTTCGTCCACGCAACAGCTGCCATACGTGGTGTCTGCCAAAATGAATATTTTGCAGTCCTCTGTTGCTAGTGCTGTCTGCAAGCAAGTGCTGATCGCATTGCTGTGTGGCAAATAGTCGTCTGGGAATTGCAGGCAAATCTGAGAGATATGTTAAAATCACGCCACGACTTTTTATTGTTGCATTTACGCACCCGCTTGTAACCATTTTGTCTTATCCAACCAAGACTAACTTTTTTGTGAGTTTCGTTCCAGATTTGTTCAAATGTTACCGGCGCTTCCGTTGGTGAATCTGTCTGGCGCTCCAGCGCTGCCGTATCCTGGCTGGAAAAGGCAGATGCTGTCATTGTTCGATTTAATAATTTGCGAAGTTCGTAAAATAAACAATTGAAGTGAAAGGCCGATAAGCGATTCGATATGTTTATACCTATCGAAATTGGTGGTATTTTTTCGCACTGTCTCTCTTTCTCTCACTTCTTAAAAAAACTGCGATTTGACATGAAAAAAAACCGACTATCGATATGCTTTTGCTTTTTCCATCACTAAGCTTAACTGCTCACCAGGTAACAGAGCAAGCGAAATTTGTCGAAACTAACCCCAGACATCTTTTTTTGAGGCACATTAGACGCGCCAACGGATGCGAATACGCGCGCATAACTCAACGTAAAGCAACGGTAAACAATCATCAACTAGTATACGAAATACGAAATACACGACGACTTGACAAATCTAAACAAAAATGGATGACTCACGCGAGGAAAGCCAATTTATTGTGGATGATGTGAGCAAAACAATTAAAGAGGCTATCGAGTCAACTATCGGTGGCAACGCATATCAGCACGATAAGGTAAACAACTGGACCGGCCAGGTTGTCGAAAATTGCCTCACCGTGCTCACCAAAGAGCAGAAGCCCTACAAATACATTGTCACAGCCATGATCATGCAGAAGAACGGCGCCGGTCTGCACACGGCCAGTTCCTGCTACTGGAACAACGACACCGACGGCAGCTGCACCGTCCGCTGGGAAAACAAGACCATGTACTGCATTGTCTCTGTCTTCGGGCTAGCCGTCTAGGCGTACGCTCGTCGATCTAGATCACAAGACACACAAATCACTAACATCTAAGGGGGAGGGACTAACTAAGATTGCCTTGCATTTGTTTTGCGCGTAAGTCTATAGATATTTTTATTTTAAGTATAAAGTTACTGATAATTATTATATTTTGCAGCTGAAACACAATTCTAATCGGTCTACTCAATCAACTCTGCAGACATAAACACGATAATTCAGCCGAACTGTTTGTTCAAGCCACATAACAAGGAATCTAACCAATCTATCAAATTACAGCAACGAGCAAAGTATTGTCCAATTCTTAAAATGCAGCACACATACGGCAAAATTCCCAATTATTTAGCAAAATGTAATGTACTTGTATTATTTTACCAAGTTCTGAATAACAAAAACTGCACACAAAGTGTTTGAAAGTTACTTTACGGTTTATTTTTCATTTTTAAAATAAATTTAATAAAATGTAAAAATGAAAAAAAAAAAAAATGGATTTGTTTTTTCTTAGTTTCTTTTCACTCGGCCTTGAGCAACGGCCCGACAGTTGTTTAATCGATGCAATAGCTGCAATCAATACAGGGTGTTTTTCTGTTTCGTTTTAAAAGTAAATTTGATAAAATTTAAGAGTAAATTTTATATTATTTTAGTTTCTCTCCACTTGGCCTTGAAAGTTTTTTGATCGATGCAAATACTGCAATCAATACAGGGTGTTCTTTTCTGTTACCTAAAAACTTACTTTTTTCGCTTGAAGTGCCTCGAACCCGTCAGCGCTGGCACCGTGCTGGGCAGTCTCAGTGACAGCATGTCCGAGCGCGCCTTGGGCCGAGCATTGACTATGTGGGCGTAGGTAATTATGCGTTCCTTCGATGTGCGCAGAATGCGAGAAAGCGTATTGGCATCCACTTCATGCTTATCACTGATGATCAGCGCCAGAACAATGAAATGTGTGAGTGCCTTCTCTGTACTGAAGGTGGTGCGTGTGCAGGACTTGGCCACATTGGGATCAGCGAATCGATGCCTTATATCATTTTCCACTTTCTCCGAAATCTTAGATAATTCCACGTTTTTCATTTGCCGCTTGCGCAGCGTAATGAGCGACTGCAGCGCGTCCATGTAGATTATTAATTTTATGTGCAGAAAATCCTGTTTTGTGGTAATTTCTTTGTTCTGTATGCGCATGATGCACTCACGCAGAAAATCCGACTCAATGCTGCAAGGAATACGGTATTAGCTGGGGCGAGAATTTATTTATCTATAGAGGATACTTACGGCAGTGAGTCCAATGGTGTTGAGTATACACTTTTTGCCTCCTCGTCCAGACGATCGAGCAGTGCTTGTGGCACCACGTCCTCCACATCGTAGATCTCGTTTATTTTTGTCGCCGCCTTATCGAACTTCGGCACAATGGCAGCCAGATATTCGGCATTATTTATATCCACCTCCGGTAGGGTATTGTCTCCCTCTTCTTCGCCTTCCTTTGTCACAGAGCTCTGGACGGTTTCATCCAGATCCTTGCGCATCACATCCACATTGACCATCATCTGCTCGGTACTAGCCATATAGCGAGAGGTCTTGCGACCACCGAACTCCTTGAGTAGCTTCTTTGTGGCGTGCTCCTTGCTCAGCATCGGCCGGTTCTCCTGTCTCTCCATCTTCTCGTAAATGTGGTTCGAGAGCAGCGATTGCTGGATGGGCACAATGGTTGCCGTATTTGTTGATTTATTACGCACACAGATGTACGTATCGAATTCTTTGTTTTCCTGCAAATCTCCCACATAGGTATTCACACCGGCCATGACCAAAGCGCGTTTGCGGGGATTACGTTTGTTTTTGCTCTCAATCAGTGAAAAATTAGAACCGCCGCCGAGCGAGCCGTTCTGAAAATTTACTGCAAGCCAAGGGTTATTTTTATGACATTTTACTTCAGTTGCAACTTAAAACTTACGCATTATCGGTGAATATATATCTTGCTTATGTGTATAAACATTTTCAATCAATGTTTTTTCATCCATTTTTATTTAATTAAAATAATATTTGAAAACTTAAACGCAAATTAAATGTTAAATGTGCCGTTGCACGTGTAGGAATTACAAATAGCCGAACAGCTGCTGATGGTGCAGTGCTGCCAGATGTTTGCTGTTACCAGAGCTGCCACGGGCAAAGTAACCCGCGCATTTTCAAATGGAATCTCTGATTGCACGCTATAGCTGAATTAATAATTTTATGGACTCCGAACATCTGCATTTATATTGAAGCCCGCGAAGTTATAGTGTTTGCTTTTAACTATTTTTACCACTTGCTGCAATGTCAAAATATGTATGTTATTTGTGTTTATGTTATGCAAGACAAAATTTACATTTGATCAACTCACCAGCACTAGTTTAATTAAAAATACTGCAAACGTTAAAAAATTAATACTCATTAGCGCTGCTTCCGGTGGAAATTCTAAATTGGATTCATCCAACAGGCCGCGTCGTCTGCGTCTGTGCCGCTCCGTTGGTTGCCACAGCACCGAGAACTGTTGCTCTGTGGAAAGTAAAATTCACTTAAAGCGTCTAAAACTTTTTATTATTTCAACTACGCACCAATAATTTTCATGAAATTATCGCGCAGCTGCTTCAGTAATTTAATTTTATTTTCTATGTTGAGCGCCGACTTCTTAATCCAGCCGATTTGCATCTTTTTGAGGAATTTCAGAAAACCCTGCATACTGGGCAAAAGTAGGTCCCCATCATCCTCGCTGTCCGACTGCTCGGTGGCAGTCTCCACAACCTCATCGACGTCCTCGGCACTCTCCACATGCGACGAGTGGCGACGCGATGTCGTTTCCACTTTGGGCGTAACGACTACATCCACCTCCACTGGCGGACTACTGGAACTGTTTTTCACTACCAGCTTGGTCCGTGCATGAATCACCTGACTGTTGTTGGACACCACAATCTGTGAGCTGTGCTTCAGTCCGCCCGCATCGCTAACCACCAAAGGATTGCTCTGTCCGTTGCGCAAGCCAAAACGCTCTCGCTGGTATTCCAGCCAGACGGCGCTGGGCGTGCTGAAGCCTTCGCCATTGGCATTTCGCTCAACTGCCACCTGCTTGCTATTGCTATTGGAGCTGGCAATCGGTCGTGTCTGAGAGTGTGCTATCTCCACCCACTCGGTGATGCTGAAGTGGCTCAGTGCCAGCAGCAGCCACAGCCTGGCCACAAAGTGTTTCATCTTGTGCCTCCAGTTGTTGTGCAGCGACTGCTGCAGCTGAGTCTTGCAACTGAGCTAGAAATCTCCCAGATGCATCCAAAAAGGGTGTCAACCGTTGCATGCCACTGAAGCATATTTGAAAAGAAGTAAGAGTGCTTTGGATGCCAGAGCACGAATAAAAAATACCCTGTGCACAAATTTCATGGTTGACTTTTTGAAAGGCAATAAATATAATAGGAACATCAGAGTCTTTTTATATAAAATGGGTATTATTTATGGAAAGTGTAAACAAGTGCTTAAAGTCTTTTTTTTTTTACTTTTACGGATATATAATTAGCTTATATATAATATAATATATGTATATTGCCTCACAGGTAAAGAGATAAAGAGGCTAGATAGGACAGAGGTTGTTCTAAATGTTCCATGGGCTAAGTCAATATACTCTATTTACACATAAAACCAATATACTCACTTACCCATTCCATTCTATAGGGTATTTAAACACACATTCATTTTCAAGCATTACTTGTCTGATTTTTATTTTTATTTATCTATATCGGTTTCTTTTTTTTTTAGGTTTTTTATTATTATTATTATATTTTAAATTGGTTCTAAAATACGAGCACAGCTGAGCGTTTGCATACATAAATGTTGGATTGGTCTATATGGTCAGATGTTTATATACGAAAATAATGCCAAACAATTTTCGATCTTAACACCAGGTTGAAAGTGCATAAAAATATTCGAAATTATTAAAAGTTTAATATACTTAAATTGATATTTAGTTTTCTTTTTTTTTTTTTCTGTTAAGTTCGAAAATTGTTCAGATCATGCTCGTATATAGTATTAGAGTAAGTACCGTTATCCATCAGTTAAATATGTATGTATGTATGTATAAGTATACTAGTTTTGATTCTTAGGAAAAATTTAGCACAGAGATTTCAGTTACAAACGGTAGCTGGAAAAGCGTGAGAAATATTAATTGTGAATGAATTTTGTATTAATATTTGTTTGTATTTTTGCGTTTGTTTTCGTTTTCTTTTTCTTTTTCCTTTGCTTCTGTTTCTTTTAAAGATCAAGCGTAAGAAAAGTTGTGCGAAATTCATGGAGAGACAATATTGAAAATTTTGATAAACGCCAAGATTAAAAATGTCTTGTTTTTCTTTTCTTTTCCTTTGTTTTTTTTTTCGTCTTTGAACAAGGTGCTAATTAAAATGTTTTCACGTTAATTTACAGTCTGACAAATATTTGTGTGTACTATAAATGTATATGTATATTTAAAAAACAATTAAATGTATGTAGAAAAAGCTAGTGGGAGGCGGAGGCGGAGGTGGAGGTGGCGATGGCGAAGGCGACGGAGACGGAGATGGAGGCTATTTAATGTGCTTGCACAGATGAAAGCGCATCCACTTTAGCGCCTTGTCGCCAATGGCCTCCACCTTGGGCGAGCTGGACAGCCGATGGCAGCCGGCACAGTTCGAGGGCACGCTCTGGCTGCCCATGAGCTCCGCATGGGTAGCTGCGGTTGCAGGAGTTGTTGTTGTTGCGGATGTTGCTGCTGCTGCTGCTGTTGTGGCAGGTCAAATGTCGCCAGCGCTGTCCCAGCGCACGTCGTCGGCCTCGTGTGTGAGATAGCGCCCCAGGCCCACCTGCGTCTCCAGGTTGCGCAAATCCCTGTAGGTTTGCTTGTCCTGCAGCCAGTAGTGCATCAGGCTCTTGTCGCAGGTGTAGCGTTTGCGCTGCTTCACTTGCAGCAGATTGTTGATGAGGTCAATAGCTAAAATGAGTGAATTGAATCAGAATCTCTCTCTCTCTCTCTCTCTCTCTTTCTCTCTCTCCTTCTTACCATTCGAGGAGATCTCCTTCCAGGGATTTGGCGGATACATGAAGGCAGCATTCTGTATCTGATCATTGATGTCCTCCTCCTCGTTGAAGGGAAAGGTGCCGCTCAAGCTCACATAGATGATCACGCCCACGCTCCACATGTCCAGGGAGCGATTGTAGCCCTTGTTGCGCAACACCTCGGGCGCCAGGTAGGCGGGCGTGCCCACCACCGAGCGTCGGAACGACTTCTCGCCAATGATGCGCGCATAGCCAAAGTCACAGAGCTTCACCTGCGGGAACTCGGCATCCGACGAGAGCAGCACATTCTCCGGCTTCAGGTCGCAGTGGACAATGTTCTGCGAGTGCAGATACTTCAGGGCGATCAGGATTTGTGTGATCAGAAATTTGGTCACACGCTCGCTGAGGCGCCCGCGCTCATGGGAGAGTATCATCTCGAGCATGTCGCCCTTGAGCTTCTCCATCACCACGAAGATGCGCTCCGGCGTCTCGAACATGCGCTCCAGATTGACAACGCCACAGTGGGTTATGTTCTGCAGGATGGCCACCTCGTTCTTCAGCTGTGCCTCCTGCTTGGTGGGGAAGCGCAGCTTGTCAATCACCTTGATGGCCACCTCGCGTTTGGTCTTCTTGTGCACGCCGCCATAGACGACGCCGAACTGCCCGGAGCCGAGCACCTCATCCGGGAAGATCTGATAGAGCTGGCCCATGTCCTGCACCTGTTCCTCCGATTCGCAGCATTCTGTGAGAAGAACGGAGATTAGCATGGATCTAGTACATATATGGAGCTGGGAATCTTACGTGTGTTGGTCACATGCATGAAGGCCTGCCGTATGCTCGTCTCCCAGCTCTTGGCTATGTCGGTGCCGATGCCACTGTCAGGCGGCGGCAGACGCACCGCCTGCTGCTCGCCCACGCCCTGCTGCGGATCCTGGCCCACATAGTAGCTCATATTGGCCGTGACCAGCTCGAAGCAGTAGTTGGCATTGGGCTTCGTTTCGATCGATATCAGCTCGGACAACGGCAGCTCCTTGTGGTACTTGCTGCCCTGCTCCGAGACGAAGAGCGTTATGGTCTTCGAGTCCAGGCGCCAATAGTAGCGCTTCAGCGCCTTGTCCAGCGAGGTGTAGTGCACCAGCCAGCCCTCCTTGATGGCCTGGCCGCCGCGTTTCTTTGTGTGCTTCACGGACTGGACGATGCGCATCAGGGGTATGTTGGCACTGGGCGAGGAGGAGGACGAGGATTGGGACTGCTCCGATTGGCCGTCCGTCGATTTGGCATCGGGTCCCGTGGTGCTGCTGTTGTCCGTCATGGTGCCGTTGACTAGCTCCGGCGGTGAGTTTTGTGCATTGGTCAGCGCCTTGGGCGCCTCCCTTGGTCGTCCGGCCACCAGATTCGTGCCGCCGCCGCCGACGCCGCCGCTGGCGCCCATGGCCTTGTTGTTGTATATGGCAAACTCGGATTGGGGTCCGTCCTCGAAGTCGCTGTCATCGAACTCCTCGCGGAAGAAGTTGTCGCGCTCCTTGCGCGGCGTACCCTCCCCGATCTCGGCCTGCAACTGGCTCATCTGCGCCTCGCCCGTGCAATCCTGCGGCACCTTATCCATGCACTTCTTGTGAGTATTGTACTGGCAGTCGCGGCACTGCAAGCCCTGCTTGAACAGGCCCTTCAGCAGCTTCTTGCAGTGCTGGCACACAGTGGGTATCCCATAGGTGTGGACCATGAAGGTGTGCGGTATGCGGAGCACCAGCTGGCCGTTCCGGCTGCTCGCGGAGTGGGTGCGCTGATGGCGGCCCGTATATCCTGGTACGTTCTAGAGGCGAGATACGAAATCGTTAGAGTTCCCATTTGGTAGGGGCATGATCGACTTATAGATACCCTGCTCGCCTAGCCGATTCCCTTGCAACTTTACGCTGCTGTGCATTTCTATTAATTTTGACTTAGATGCAATTTAAATTTTAGAATTAAGCTAAACTAAAGCATTTACTTATTTATAAAAGGTCTAAAGGTGCATCTGAGTTGCCTGAGTTTTATATGTCAGAATTCTAATCAAAATTTATTTGTTTACCAACTCTCCACTCTACTCGATACTCAACTCTACAAGAAATTTAGGCAACTTTAGCCTCTTTCAACTCTCCATAAGTTATTTTTCAGCAATTAAACCTTTTGCCTTATAATTTAGGCATTCTACACAACTCTCCACTTCTCTATTGTTTATCCATAATAGGCTTTTCATTACTAGAAATGTTGTATAGTACGATGTAGTCAAGTTTATTTAGGTTTCAAGTCTCCACTCTACACATCTCTTTAACTTTTATTGTTTCCACTCTGGTAAGTCCTTTTATTAAGTCAAGCAGAAGTCTATTCCACTTTAAGTCTCCACTCTTAGCTCTTCTCTGTTAGGTCTCTACTCCATACAACTTATTATGTTCCCTTTAAAGGCAACTCGTTGGTTATACGATCAGTATGCTATTCCAAGTTCAGCTCTCCACTTTAGAAAACTCTCCCAAAAATATGGAATCCTCTAAAAAAGCCCTTTAATTGTATTACATCTGTTATACTCTACAGTAGTCTCTAATATAGCTCATCTGCTTTTCATTCCCAACTCTACACAACTCTCCAACTCTACACACAACTCCAACTTACTTTGCACTCAACTAAACTGTTGCATTTTTGATTCCACTTTCAACTCAACTCTACAAACATAACGCCCACTCTTTAATATACTCCCTACGAGTATTTAACAGAATTTCAAATGAAAGCCAACTAAAGCGGTTTTTTATCAAAATTAAATAAAGTTTATTCAAAAAATAATACGAGTATATGTGTGTAAAAGTAAAAAGCAATGAGAATTCATGTAAATAATGTTTGGAATACTCGTAGGGAGGGAGCCCCGTTACCGCTTAACCCCAACGCACTTAAAGCGCACTTAAGCCCATCTGCCACTGCGCTACCCATATTTAATTCTTAATTATGTCATTCATAAGGTCCGACATGCGTTTTACCAATGAGCTGCTGGAGTCGTGGCGACCCGTCGACTCCTCGTTGGAGACCAGCGACTGCTGTGAGCTGCCAGACGGGCTGCGGGGCGGCTGCAGTGTGACCGAACGTCTCGAGGTGGCATCACTGGAGCGGTTACAATTGTTCGGGATTTTCACCACACAGCGCTTGTGATAGTTTTGACCACAGCCTGTGGTGAATGAAACATGCATACACACATATACATGGAGATATATGTATGTATGTCGCAAATTGAGTTAGTTTTTATGACTGAGCAGACGAGAATCTCTGTGTGTGTGTGTGTGTCTGTGTGTGTGTGCGTACATACCATCGC